GAAACTAGGTTCAGCGCTTACGTAGGTATAACCAAACGAACCAGAAATCCAAAACTTAGCAGAGCGTAACAGGTAGCACGTATTTATTCAAATTGGCGTATGTCTAAACTACTTGAAATATTAAAGCATGTGAACAATTAATTTAGCAATTAAAAGAGCTTAAGTCATGTTCGTCACATCCGCCACGCCTTGAATGAGCACGCGAATGTTTATAGTTCCGTGGTTGTCCTGATCATTATCTTTCGGATCTTCTCAGATTAGGAACGTCAGCTTCCTCACAGGTACCTCAGATATAACATTTTGTTCAGACACCACAAGACCAAATACAAAGGGTGCATTAGTATTTGAAGCAGCAGGAGTGCTGTTCACAGACTGACCTCTATAATTGAGCTCAACCTGATCAACGTGACCAGATGGAGCATTCATATCGAGAATCGTGACTGTACATTTTTCATTTGATGGAAACATCATTCCTGTAGCATGTCGTAAATCGTTGCCCTTGAAAAGCGTAACATCAGACGTTTTGGCACAGTCAAGAGTTGTAGGCAACGATCAACATTTGAAAAGATATGCGGTGCTCTTTCCAATAACAAAAGAAAATTTTCCATTTCACGGTCCAATTCCACAAAAGAAATAGCAGAGAATGAAGCATTTGCAAATTTATGGGCTCGGACAAAATTCTCAGCAAGTCCATTCAACTGGGAATTTCAAGGGGCAGTAAAGAGATATCGAAACCTAGGACATTTCAGCTACTCTAAGGGGAATTTTCAGTGAAGCATGTGCCGTCGTCAGTGACCAAAGCACTTGGTATGCCTTCGTGACTGAATACTTTCCCCAATGCTTGTTGTGTGAATTCAGTACTTGGAGAAATAGAAAAACTTTAGACTAACGTGCGTATGTGACAATAACAATTGAAGCACAGTATTAACCGGGAAAACGACCGCACTATTCAGTATGAACTCGTTGAAATGTTTCACAGGTAACTGGCCACGGATACCACTGTGAAGACTTGTTATGAGTCATATGTGCACATTTAACACAACTTTCGGCAGTATAATTGATGCCAGCATTCAGTTCCGGCCATTAGCATGGCAAGAGTATGGGAGGTTTCATTTTATCAGCACCAGAATGACCAGAGTGCAGCCATGCCAGAAGAGCCAGCCGCTGAGTTGGTGGAATGATAACTCTATCCTCAAAGCACAACAAGCCGCCTGGTGTAATGGTCTAACTTTCGCTGTGAGCCAGGACCGCCCTTGTAAAGCGGACTCAGATGTCTCCAGCCTAGGATTTTCAGTTGTAATTACTGCATCTGACAATGGTTTGCAACAAAGCCTGGTGTATGTGCTCGGTGTTGAGTGGTGCACTGAGTGCATCGCAGATGTCACCTAGATAGATGACGAAGCGCTCACATCCAACTGTCAGGTTCGACAGACAGACAGGTAATGAAGCTTGTAGAATACTTCGAAGTATTCGGGAAAGCTCACTTGAGTGACGCGCAAAATCACGTGCCGGAAATTGTAGATTTTCAAGGTTTATCAATTGAGTGAGGCAATACATGTATAGAATACGTAATGAAAGGGACAAAAGCCTCATATTATGGGGTTTCCGTCTAAATTGTTGCACAACGTGGTGCGGGTACAACGAAATCCCGGAGAAGGTGGTAAATGGATATTTATTAGCAATACACACCCGCGCACAAAACTCGATAACGCAAAATGGTCAAAAGTGCGCAGCGGACTCAGATGTCTCCAGCCTAGGATTTTCAGTTGTAATTACTGCATCTGACAATGGTTTGCAACAAAGCCTGGTGTATGTGCTCGGTGTTGAGTGGTGCACTGAGTGCATCGCAGATGTCACCTAGATAGATGACGAAGCGCTCACATCCAACTGTCAGGTTCGACAGACAGACAGGTAATGAAGCTTGTAGAATACTTCGAAGTATTCGGGAAAGCTCACTTGAGTGACGCGCAAAATCACGTGCCGGAAATTGTAGATTTTCAAGGTTTATCAATTGAGTGAGGCAATACATGTATAGAATACGTAATGAAAGGGACAAAAGCCTCATATTATGGGGTTTCCGTCTAAATTGTTGCACAACGTGGTGCGGGTACAACGAAATCCCGGAGAAGGTGGTAAATGGATATTTATTAGCAATACACACCCGCGCACAAAACTCGATAACGCAAAATGGTCGAAAAGTGCGCGTAAAATATGGTTGAATAAATTGGTTTACTATGTCAAGGGTTAAAAATCCATGAGAGATTATAAACGCATATCGAGTCTGAGTTAGATGCACTAAAAGGGCAGGCTCAGATAAGGGGAGGGTTCGACCCGGGAAAGGGAAGTACAAAGCCTTTGCTATAGAACTGGGGTGCCGGATTACGCTTGAACGTAACTCGTTGACTTTACATGCCCTGCTCTACTCTCGAGGTTGTAGCATGCTACTCGTTACTCGCTCGAAATACTGACATTTTTAGGTTGAACTCCTCCCCTACTCCCGGGGACTGAACCGACAACTACAGTTTGATCTTGTGCTCCAGACTCTGCTGGTGGTATGCTCAGCGACTCACACGTTCGTTGCACTTGCAATTCTCTCCACACGGAATATCACCACGTTAAAATGCGGATAAGCTATTGGTTTCATTCTGAATCTTAACTGTCACCGTGCGGCCGCTCAAGCATCCTGATGTGGCCTTCTCTCACCTCGCTCCCCTTACCTTTCCGTTGCTTGAACTTTGGGGCTATACAGTAGAGTCCTGATGATTCAGTCCCTGCTCCCAGAGTCATAAACACATTCCTCACTTTCTCTTCCCTCTGCAGTGCGCGGTGTGCTACTGATGACTTGAAATGTCCTACATATTACTGAGTGTGACAAACTGACCACTACCGTCCAACTGCCCCACTGTTTGGCATGGAAAGGCGCATGAGACTTCCCAAAGAATCAGTGCATACAATGAAACAAATACATGGTGGTGTTGTGATTTCCGATAAAAAGCGAACATGAGTCGAGCTAATCGCTCGCCCTTGTTTTTGCCATAAAAACAAATTCGTATATTTTCATCCCATTATCGCAACAATACCCAAACCTGCTAGCGTCTTTTGGCGCACCTACGATTTATATCAATCAGCTAGTGTCTACGTCCTGTATGTGGATGGCATGTTTCGGGATATCCACATAGTGCACACGCACGTTCAAACGCCTATCAGTGTTCTCAAAATGGTTGGTGAAGTGTCCAGACGAAACCAACCTGCGCAGCCAAATCTGCACGCCTATCATAGGGTGAATTGCAACTTACTCAATCGCGTTACTAAAGCGAATCATGGGGTAAAATAAGTGTTGGCTGCGGTGGCAAGTATTCTGCGAAGAAATGCAAACAGTTTTGCGGAACGCAGTGCTTGCTAATTGCTACTCGTAAGCCAGAGCGACATAGCCCTTTCTCGCAGCCAGATAGCTTTGACAGCCCGCATCTGTGATGTCGCTGGGCCCTTCACGAATGTATTATTTCGGTACTGTCCACTGAACCTTTTCTTGAACAAGTTAGGGATGCACACTCGGGTGAGGGCATACTTAAACGGTCGCCTGGTGCCAATGCCGTTTGTCTCAAGGAACGTATACCGCTTGCGCCCACGTAATAATAGTCAGATTCCCAAAAAGCATTTACTCAAGACGGTTTGTGCCGATTTGGCACCAACTTTTAAGAGCCTGGGAAACTCCGAAACAGCACTGTTTGTTGCGTGGATGAAATGATCGCCTTCACGTCGTGCCGCGAGTGCACGAGCACATTCGTGGGGCTTTGCACGAACGAACATGTCATCCATCCAGGTGAGCAAAACGGAATCATATACCTGCTTGATAGGGGAGACTGGCACTTGACGCGGTAGATGACTTGGCTTGTCAGTACCTTGGCAAATTGCAACCTACTCTACTGCTGAACCTATGAAAGTGGAATATTATGCTTAAATAGGGTTAGTCTCCTTCATCACGAGCCGGGAGTAGGTTGGCAGGAAGCCTGCCAAAATCAGCTCACGGACTGGTTGATTTCGTCCCAGATGCAGAAATTGCGTACGTTTAAACAGATTTCAGCATAACTGTAGTTTCCTGGCAAGATCTCATGGAACCAAAGCGTGCAAGTGCTGCAATTTCATGTGAAATATTTTTTGAACGAACCGTGCTTCCATAGGAATCTTTGGAAGGAAGCGATTGTCACGCGAATCCACAAAACTGGTGACGGACTATCGCCCGGCATCTATGGGCCCATAAGGCTAACTAGTGGGCCGTGCAAGGTGATGGAACGCATTCTGAAGCGAGCTATCATAGATCGCCCTACTTCCAGTTACCTGACATCTCCAGCTCAGTAAGGATTTCTCCCGAACCGTTCTTGCGTGACAACCATGCTCGCGTTTATGGACAGTTTAACCCAAGCCAAGGACGAAGGACTCATATCGGATGCCATGTTTTTCGACTTCCCAAAAGCATTTCATAGGGTCCCACGCGTCCCGGTGCTCCACAAACTCGAGTCTTATGGGATTCAAGGGAAAATCCTTCACTGGATCAAGGCGTACCTATCAGACAGATCAGCCTGAGTGAGAATAGGCTCGACCTACTCTTCTCCAGCACCTGTCTCTATTGGAGATCCTCAAGGCTCCGTCCTGGGACCGCTGCTGTTTCTGATCTACGTCAACGATCTCCCAGATGTTCTTGCAAGTACACGTCTACTTCTTGCGGAAGACTTGAAATCCTGGAGTTCCAGTGCCAGAGCCCTCCAAATGGATGTAGACGCTACCAAGTAGTGGTCGTTGGACTAGCATCTTCCTCCGAATGATGAAAAGTGCGTCCATATGTCGTTTGGAGGAGACTCAGCGAATGCTTCTATGCATGGTGAGAAAGGACCAGAAAACATCATGAGGATAGATGCCAAAAAGGATTTGGGCACCTGGGCCTCCTCAAACTAGTCCTTCTCACTGCACCATCAGTCAGAAAGGCCTTCGCCATTTTACGGATGATCCGACGCACCTTCTCCCGTGTTACTCGCATGGACTTCCAAATACTCTATGGTACCTACGTCAGACCGCTCCTGGAGTACGCCAAACAAGTTGTCTACTCAGGACGTACGAAAGACATCACCCTCATTGAGCGTGTCCAGCGGGCCGCCACGAGAATAGTTGCCGGCCTCAAATCCGTGGACTACGAAATGCCTCTCGCGATGCTCGATCTATTTCCCCTGGAGTACCGTCGCTTTCGAGGAGACCTAATTCTTACTTACGCCCTGTTTGAACAAAGCCTGGCAAACAGGTTTTTAACGTTGAGCCAGCAAACACCAGGTGGGGGCATAGTAAGAAAATTTTCATGCTCAGAGCACGCACATTCATTAGACCAATTTTTCTCATTTCGGGTAGTAGGTGCGTGGAATGACCTTCCTCCGACGGTTGTCCACGCCCCTTCTAGAACCCAATTTAGAGCACTATCAGACATTTATTTATGCGAATCCTGGAGCTGGCAAGCATACTGCCCCGCGCTGAGAACACGAAGAGCGGTGCTATAACCTTTGTTTCACGTGTGCCTTTCAGGTGAACGACAGCCACTGACCGACAAGAACAAAGGCAACCCGGGGAACTTGGGCAATAGCCTCAATCCTGTGCACCAATCAGTGAATCCGTGATTTGGATCACTTCTACGGACTGGCCAGTTCGTGGATCCGGATCTAGTTAATCCCGATTCCGTCACGTTTCTCACTCATACAAGGCGCAGTGCTACGCGTTATTTAGGATACGCCTGCAACAAATGGGACAAAGTTTTTATCAAACCTCGTACACTGGATCAAGCCCGGAAGTTGCCATGAGATGGACGGCGTTGTTTAAGCGCACCAATTACATGCACTTATGTAAAGTTTACCCTTTCGAACTTTCTGTTTCCCGTCCTCCAATCGGATATTTGTCATCATCTGGATGATTTTCGAGTCCTTCAGCCATTCCAAAGTGTTACCGAAATCCTTTAAATGATCCAAGATACACAAGGAAGGAAGCAGTATCCTTCAGAAGTCATCACAGAGGGTACGTCCGCCAGAACATCGTGATTGTTATTGTCGAAAATTTTCATGTTAATTCCACTGTTTTCTTATAGACCTTGAAGTATTCTTGGATTTGCAATGGTGCCTGTCAAAAATATTTTGGAAAATGTATTGCGAGCGCTTACTAGGTGGATGAATAACTCAACCGCAGCATGTCAATCGCTCAAAATAAAACGGTCATGTCAAAAATGATTTAAAATCCCCTCTCAGCATCAGGCCGTCCGGTTACGCACGGCTCCTCAAATAATCACATGTGTGAAACACTCACAGCTGTTCGTAATAGATTATTTAAACTTGTGGATATATTTTCATGAAACAGCTGTGAACCTTGGTTGTCTCAGTCCCACTGTTGGGTCACAAGCACTATTCTAACCACCACCGTTTCACTGCCACCTTGTCTCTGATGGGCGCTGCACTGACCCAAGATGAACAGTTAATTTATCACGCCGCACATCAGAGTCTTCTCGAACCTTGTGGCCATGTCCCGTAGTCATTCTTCTGATCTGATACAAATACCGTACTCTTGCATCAAGATGGCAGCTAGCCTGTCAACTCCACGACGCATGGTACGTGTTAATACCCGTAGAATCCTAAATAATATTCCAGCGTTCGAGATATGACGCATTTTCAGGGGACTTTTAGGGTCACTAAAAATGACTGCATTCCAGAACATACTCATCTCAAAATTAACGGTTTGAGATTCTGTATTAGCAGTAGGACAAAACGTAAATGCTGATACGAGACGGGGGCCAAAAGCAAAATGAATTGTTCCGGTGAGCCACTCTAGACCATTTAAACTTCTTAAGAAACGGCTGCGCCTTACTCTTCCGAGGGAGTAAAACAAACCTGTGAAGCACTCCTAATCGGTCAATCCACGGTGAACACCGACGTGGTGTGTAGGCCTGCAGGGAGAAGATGAGGGGCACGACTAGGTGAAACTTACTACTAAATGTGGTTTTAGCCCGTGCCCTAAGAGAGGAGACCGATGCCTTATTATGATGATATATCCTCATTCCCGTCTCCAGGTCTATGTTTATTACGCTGACACATGTCCGATCGCTCACTGTAAAGAGATGGGCCCCCCAGTACGCGTCAGCTACGAGACGCAAGCTTGATACACAAAGGATAGTTGCCGGTCGTAATGGTCACATCACCTCAAGGACTTGCCGTTTCCGGGACAGTGACTACGCAGTAAAAACTACTAGGATCTACCAAAATTAAGGAAGCCATCTCGTGTCAAAATTAGTGACTAGAACGAACGATGTCCACAGAATTACACTATAACCTTCAGCAACGTTGGAAACTTACTTGGACCCCGGTACACCTTCGTGAACTGTTTTAACACTAAGTGCTGCGCCACCTTCTCTTCCTAGTGTTTTTCAACAAGTTTGGTCATATACATCAGCCTTTGTTGCAAACTATGCGCCGGCCACATCAAGATCTGGAGAGAGAGAGAAAGAGGTAGACTTCGCATTAGGCGGAAAGCCCTTCTAAAAGACTAGGTTTGACGATCTGTTTTAGCCCACAGGAGCAAAAGCTGTTATTCAACGGGAGAAGTTGTCATATGATTTCCTCAGGCCACTATTTCCTTGGCCTGTACATTATAGCTTTGCACAGCCTCCCAACCGTCGGTGAGAAAAATGACCTATGAATTGTAACGTGTGGAAACGTTTCCGACACTGTTGGCAAAAGTTACAGACTCACATATTTCCCTCGGACTGATTAAAGTTATTTTATTCAAGAAAGATTTTGCAACTCACGTAAGAATTAACCTAGATTAATCCATTTGAGCCCGGAACTCTTAGCTGAAGCGTGGCGATCATCTGTTAAAACAAACACAAAGATATGCCAGTAGACAGTTTTTGACTTCTATCACAAGAAGTGGTTGACCGATTTTTAGTTATTCTTGTCCGCTTATAGAATATAATGTGGTGGCCTTCCAATTAGTTTCTAAATTTCAAAATACCTTAGCCACCCATGTACTAAAATGCAACCACCTGATAGTACGGTGAAGATCTAAAGAAACCGGCCACCAGTATTGATATTTTGGCCTACGTTGTCGCTTTCACTCTGTTTTTGCCTCTGAAAATATTTACAGACGGATATTGCTCCCAACTTGGAATCTTTTAAAGTACGATTGACCGGAAACAGTAGTTGTTGCAGGCTTTAATTCATTAAGCAACCCAAAAACATCCGACACTACCACAGCTATGCTCTGCTGAATTACACATCTCAGGCCTGATAAAATTCAAATACAACCCAGTGTAACGTATCGAAGAGCGGCATAATTGGAGAGCTGAATTTTATTTATATTCAAAAACTGGCCTACATGAGGAAAATATTGAGAGGAAAATTGACGCTGATAGTGAAAGATCCGTAGAAGATGAGTGGCATAGAATGAAAGAGTAAAATGTTTCAGATGTTCGGGGTCTTGGCTTCGGTTACCGTTAGGCTTAACAAAAGAAAAATCAAATGGAGTTGAATTTATAGTGTAATCATCTCTGTTGATTGAGTCTACAATAAGGTCAAGAAGTCACTGGGAAAAGATATCTGGTCTGTAGTTCTAACCAAGAAGCACAAAACTGCTCATACCGAAAAAGATTTCCCTGAAAATAGCTTCTAAAGGGTGTTTTTGATAGCATGTCCATCCTTTCTATATCCTATTTTCTTGTGAAACATAGAGAGATGGTCCTAAATCGGGCCAAAATGCGATTCTTAAGCATGATACAAAATAATTGGCTGTCTTGAGCAGACGGCTAAAATTCAACACCCACTACTATGGCTGATGTAAATGCCAATTTTTGCAGTCATGCACACGTACTTCCTTAAAGTTTATGTTGTCTAGAAACAAGTAACAGCTAGCACACACGTATAATGCGACAACCAATGTGGGCTAAGTCATAGGCTGCGACTAATATATTAGACAGTTCAGGTTTGCGATGATCGATGTTTACTCTGCCTAACTGCACAAACAGACTCTCAGAATGGTCCGATTTGTGCACTTTTTCACGTGTAGGGCTATGAGAAATGTAAAGGTGTCACGTTGAGTCCTACGGAAAAATGATTGACACTTATGATTCTGAGCGTCGCAGATGTTACTTATGATAAAATATGATGTGATTGGTCATGTAAGCAGTCCACTTATTTACATACTAAGGGATCCCTTAGGTCAAACACCAGATGTGTAGCTTTGCATCAGAATGTCAACCTACGCCTTTTTATCTAGCTGGCGCAATGATCAACCTAGAAAGTTCAGTTTTAGGAGAATCACTTTAGAAATTAGAAGACATTAAACTCCACACTCCAGCGGTTTGATTTTTAAGCATTTAAGCGGACAACGCCCATGGTTGTTTTTAGTGTGGATCAAATTCTGCCTAAACCAGTTTGCAAAAATGATTACCGCCATCTCTTCTAGTCTTAGCTGCTACATGTATTCCAGGGTTATTCCCCAAAAAAGCAAGCTCCATTCAAATGTCAGTCCATATTTTCTGTGACACCTGAGATAATTCCTTTGAGGCACTGTAAGCGTGTGCTTGGCGTACATTTTTCGTTGAAATTCAAGCTAATTATTAGGTGTGCTATTGCGGGTTCCGCTAGGACCCAATCTAAAGAATGTAAGTGGGTGAGAAAGCCTGTGAGAGCACTTTTAACCTAACACAACTAGAAAAGTTTGCTTGGATAATTAATCACAAAGCCGCTTTTATCCGTCTGTGAGGTTTGTTCTCCGGATGAGGTTTTGCATGCAATACTTAAACGTTCACTTGATGGACGAATTTAATAATCTGGCACCATTTAAAATATCAGGTCCCGACGAGCAGTAAGATCCATAAGCTTAGGTCTTTATTGAAGAGCGAGCTTGAGATTAATCCTGCTGTTGGCAGGAGTTACAGTTCAGTCCATTATCTAAATGGTGAAATGAGGCTTTGTGGCAAAAAATAACTAAGTGATTCAAAACCAGTTGTTTAAACTCATAAAAAGCATGCTTTATCCATGAAACTACCATGCTGATTTTGAAGAAAAGCATCTTGGTTTTTCACTTCCATAGAATTTTGAATATTTGAGAATCAAATATTTTTTCTAAGTTTTCTAGTGGATTAAAGGAGAGTTTATTCCATTATGATCGGCTATTAAGATAGCCAGTACTGTGTTGGTTGAAGGGTTTTTCTAGCATGAGGCCTAGGAGATGTCGTAAGAAATATGCACGGGTTTTCTTGTTTTAAACTGGCTTCTCATTGCCACTCTGCATCGATAATC